CCAGGTCGAGGCGAGGAGCACTCTACTGGGCGTTCATGACACTGCGGGGCCCTTCGCCGCGCCCAGAGATCTGCACACCGGTCAGTTCATATACGTTGACTGCACGGAGGAGGAGAGGGCCATGCTGCCCACGACCATCGGATCGCAGTTCGAGGCGGAGCGCGCTCTGGCCGAGCTGAGGACCGTGAGTCGCGTCGTCGGTGACCCGCGTGATTCCGAGGAGTACACGTACTGGGAGACATCCTCGCATGACACTCTCGCCTACGCCTTTTACAGCGTGCCGGATCAGTACAGGAATGTCCCAGCAGTGAAGTCCGCCTCGCGCATTTTCGACCAGATTCCTGACGGCCAGCTCGTGCGACCGGACAAACCGGAGCCTGCGGTTCTCCGCCTCAGCGCGGTGAAAGGCACTGATGGCACCCGGAGGAACCTCGAGAGGCTGAAGGAGGAGTCCATCAAGAAAAACGTGGTCATCCTCGGCGCCAGGAGAGGCGAAGATATCGCCCCCAGGATCGGAAACACGATCGCTACTCTGTGCGCCAAAATCGGGGACATTGCCCGATTCCTGGAGATGGGAGTGAGATCCAGGGCAGGGCCTATCCTCCCGACCAAGAGTGATCCTGACCTGATGATCCAGGCCATTGTTCCCGCACCCGAGGAGCTTCTGGACTACTTCGCCGACGAGATCCGTCAGAAGGTGAAGGATAGAACGGGCGCCTCTTCGCACTACTACAGGAGAGCATGCGCGGAAATACGCGACGCGCTCCGTGGAACAGCTGTGCAGCCTGGAAATGCAGGTGCAGTCAAGGACCCAGAGTTGGAGGCCTCGTCTGCCAGCGGGCAAGGGAACGTTACTTCGGTGATACAACTGAAGAGGTTCCTGAGCCACTACTTCGGGACCAGCGTCGAGTCCGAGGATGCCTTTTCTTCATACCTCCTGTCTTCCTTTCTCGAGGATGGGGTGGGAATGTTCGAGATCATCATCACCGTCATTCGTGACAAGGAGCGTCGGTTGCTGCCTGGTTCCGCCCGCATAGCGGCGGTAAGGTCGCTTGAAATCGGATCCGACACTGATTACCGGGCGTTTCGTGAACGATACCAATACATGCTCTACGAGAGCCCTGTTTGTCTTCCTATCACCTCCAAGGTGGTTCCTAAGACGCTCTACAAGGTGGTGCCTCTCCGAACGTATCGGCTCTACGTAGAACGTGGGGCGATCATTCGGGGTGGGCGAGCTCTGATCGAGCTCCTTCCCTCTCGGCCGGATGAGTATCAATCCCTCCGCGATCACGGAGAGTGCCCCAACGACACTGTCGACCGCATCACCGACAGCAACGTGACGGAGCTGCACACCTCGGGTCGACGCCAAAGGAGCGATCCCCGATATGTGGTCATGGCTATCGATGCACGTTTCTTCTCCATGGAAAATGGGGGCATGCATATTACTCGTCAGGGTACCTTTGCGTCGCGCGAGAACATCGCGATCGGGTACTGGAGATGCGTCTACTTCAAGGAGGACTGCTCCATCATTTACCTGAGGCCTTGGTGCTATCCGCCCAACTTCCTCAACTCCTTGAGTGATAACCCGAGGAAGTGTCGGGACGAGATGGAGAAGTACCATCAGATCACCAAGACGGAACATGTCCGCGAGGTGGTGTCCGTTCCATGCCATAGGTGCATGACGGCCCATCCGGTCGGCGCTCACCTGTGCACCGCCTGCTACCTTCCCATCTTCTACGATGGCGTCCTGCCCACCGGAGACACGAACGGCGGCCCTCGCACGATAGCGAGCACTGACGGGTTGGTTCCTCCCTGGCTGGCAAAATACGAGGGCTTCGTCCCCGCTCTGTGGAACAACTCAGACGCCAACGCCATCGGAATGGCCCTCTACTCGCAGAGTCCCGCCGTCGATGCCCGGTCCTTGTTGATGTCTGGGATGCGGCCTCCTAAGTACCTTGACAAAGAGGACGTGGATGGCATTTTCCGGAAACTTCACGACTCGCTCCGAGACGAAATCCTTGACGGCAAATACCGTGACACGGTCGACAGCAACGTGGAAGAGTGGGTAGCAAAGGCGATCCTGGTAAGGGGTCTGGCCTTCAACGGGAGCTCCGTCCCCGAATTCTTCGAAGAATATGAGGGATATGCGGCTGAGTGGGGCAGACGCCTAACCACCGCAAACTTCAATGCCAACCGGTGCGGTTTCTACACGTCCTACTACATTCTTGAGGCCCATATCATTGGGCTGAGAACAGGACACCTTTCTCCGATACTCCCCAACGATGTGCCCGGGGAGGGATTCAAGTTCCAGGTGAAGCTGCTCGCACAGCACTGCGGGATATTGCAGGCCATGCGGAGAAGGGCCGGTTTCGATCCTGCCGCGCGCCTCAAGCGGGCTATGGACACGATACGGGAAGGCATCAAGAAGGGGTATGTCTACACCCTCAACGACCTCAGCAGCATGGACGATCTGATCTACCGGACGTCCACCGTTGCCTACGACACCTGCTTGGCCGACCGTCCTCAAACCCAGGATGACATCAAACAGGAGCTATCCGACCCTGTACCAAGGAAATACCGCTTCCGACCCCGCGATCGCCATCGACCCGGAATTCGCCTTACACCAGGCCCCGGCGTGAAGGACGAAGACGAGCCCGACTTTGCTGGATCAGCGGAGGATGAGCTAGGATCGGATGGTTCTTCGCACGAAGATGACGAGAAGCCTGACGACCTTGACGAGCCCATGGGCGACGACGAGGAGGAGATCCCTCCCCCTCCGCCACCGCCCCCGGCTCCTCCTGCGCCGCCTGTCCCGGTAGAACCGGAGACTCCCGTGGTGCCGCATGCAGGCGTCATTTCTGGCGATGCTGTGCCAACTCCTCCTCCTCCTCCTCCCGCTCCCATTGCGGCAGGCGTTACTACGACTGGGGATCCGTTTGAGGAAGAGGACATGGCCATCAATACTCGTGTCCCTGACACCGAGTCCGAGCTGGAGGGTGAGTCCGACCAACCCAAGGCCAGAAGGACATCTCGTGGTCGGGTCCCCGCGCCCGAAAAAGGGCAGGGGGGCGTTCAGGTCCCGCCTAGCGGGCAACCCAGCTCTAAGAGCATGGCCCAGCCTGCCCGCCCATCCCCGGTCCCCGCGAGAAGCGGTGTGGAAGGTGGGGAGAGAAGGGGCAGGACTAAGGGTTTCTACACCCAGAAGGATCCTTTTACCGGCGAGGACGCGACTCCCCGAGTTCGTCTTCGATCGGGCGGTCCCGGAACTCCTGCGTCCCCACCACGGGATGCCACCGGTTCCTTGGGCGGCCATCGCGGCTATGACCCGCGTGATGACGACAACGACGAGTGGGAGCTTCCCCCGGGTGTGCCTCGGACCACTCGTGCGGCAGATGAGTCGCGGCCCCGACGAGATGACGATCGGTCAAGGACCGCGCTTGGGGCCCGCGAGGATCGTCGTGGTCCTAAGGGTGAGGGGAAGGGTCGAGGAAAACATCGACCTGGCAAAGGAGGACGTGAGGATCCCGGCCCGCCCCGACAAAGGGATGATCGTGGCAGGGACACCCGCGGAGGCCGACGCGATGATCGCCGACCTCCTCCACGTCATGAGGAGACCTCCGAGAGGCGCGGCCCGGGGCGAGATGAGCGCCGCGGACGTGATGACCCGGGCGATGACCGTCGCGATCGCCACCGGGACCGGCGCAGGGATGACCGACGTCACCAATCAGATCCCCCTCCGCCTCGCCGACCTCCGGCTGGCGACCACAATAGGGGTGGTGGTGAGGATCGCCGTCGGGATGGAGGAGGTGATCGAGGTGACCGTGGTGGACGCCGAAGAGACGACGCGCCCAGGGACCGGGAAGAGCCTGGTTCAGGGTGGTAGACGGGTGCCGCAATCAGCATCCGCCGGTAGACGGGTGCCGCAATCAGCATCCGCCTTAGAAGGGCGAGGACAGTACGTGTGTCGCCGACAAACGCGACCGCGCCGGTCCTCCTCTCGCCCGTGCAGCGCTGCTGGGGGTGATGATCTCCATTGCCCTGTACCGCTGATCCGGCGGCTCGTCCCTTGCGTCGTGTCCCTCCCGCACCGCTGCCGTGCGCGCCGGAGATGGTTCCCCTGACGATCCTGTGTGAGGCTGTGACCGCACTAGAAGTGCCGGACCGGCCATAGCCGGATATTTTCACACCAATTTCGGAGCTTCTGTTTCTACTTTCCTCCCAACTCGACTCCTCTTCCAACCGTTCCACGGCGTGCAGTGAGGCGCGGTGATCCAGATAGGATCCCCCTCCGCATGGCATCGTCCCATGACAACTCATGAACGGCACGAGAGGAATCTTCGTCTGGTTCCTCCAATATGTCTTTGTTCACTCATGTGGTCCACTCGTCAAATAATCCTGTCGCCCCGATAATTCGGGGTGGTGGCGGGATTTTAACTGGGGCCCAGGTGATGCCGTTTGGCTCACCTCTGAGTTGACACCGGCATTTTTGGTTGGTCCCTTTCGTCGTGAACTCAACTGTCTCGCATCCTTTCTCTCGTCCAGATATCGGATGAGGGGGGTGTGTTTTGTTCACGTGTTGTTTCATCATGTGGCAAAACGGCCGAATGGCCGTTTGGCTCAAGATTTGGATCCCCCGTCGGGACTTCCTTGGATTTGCGTGCGTTCGCCATAGTGCGGCGATTGGCTGCACCATCGCGGAAAAGGTCCGTGGTGTTCCAGCTGTTCGGCACTAGGAGGTGGGCGGCAGGTCGCCGAGGTGCTCCCGGGCCCGACCCTTGTCTTTACCCTCTTCTACCAGTTTCCTAACCTCCCCAAACTTGATCTTCATTAACTGTCACTCCCACAATCTGGTCACCGGCACCCTCTACATTGTGCTTTGGGACTGGGTTCTTTTGGTACTTCGTGAACCACGTGTACCTCTTTGATTCCCTGGGCTACTTCGTGTTCGCCCAAAACCGCAGATTTGACTCCCGTAAAAAGCCGAGTCAGACGCGAGTCAGGTCGCTGCCGAGTTTGGAGCGAATGCCGTTGGATACCGTGGCCGGCCCTTTCCTGCAGCCCTGGCAAAGCCAGGCACAGCCGTTGAGGGGGGAGGGGGGGGGATGATGGATACTTCTCTACTGCTATTGGGTTGGATCTTTAGACTTTAAGGGTTTGGATTCCCCTCATATTTCCTTTTAACCAGCAAAAAGTCAACTTTTTGCTGGGGGATCTACAGCACCCAAGACTTAGCGGCTTATGTTGCAGCCAAGCACCAAAGAAAACAAAAAGCAAGAGCCTAAAGGAAGGAGGTTATAAAATAGGCCTAAAGTGTCCATCACACCGGAGGGGAGGGGGGGAGTATGGACTGGAAGTTCCTGGAGATTTGCGGCAATTGGCTCGTGTCCTTGGCTTCGGAATCCGGCGGAGATGCGCCGGGACAACGCCGAAGAGGTCGGAAAGGCGGCGTGATTTGGGTGTGGCTCAAAATGAGACAGGAGGGGCAAACCGCAGGTTTTGGTTTCCATGTTTCCACTTACCAGGGCAACCCATTTTGGAATTCCGGTTTTTGGAGCCACAGCCATTTGCCGTCCCAACGCGAAATCTCGCGGGATCCCGTGGAAGATCTATTTCCCTGGGCGCGCGTGTTGCTTTACACCACGTTTCTGCTCCCTTCCAGCTGGCCGCCCCAAGCTTCTGGCCCAGCGCGACGTGGTGAATTGAGCTACTCGAATTGCGAGCTCAAGCGATGTCACGGTGATTTTGCGTGCGATCGACTTCACCCATGATGAAGGCGCTTATTCCATGTGTGTCCGAAGAAAAGTAGTTTTCCTCTACACATATGATCGATATCCATTCCGGGTGGCGAAAATGCCTCCCTACAAGTATCAACGCAGGCGCATTGTGAAGAGGGCCGTCCTTCTCGGAGGGCCTTTTGTGCATGTCAGTTGTGGGTGGTAGTTTGTGCCTGCATCCACATTGGCGGTCGCCGAAAAGGAGACGTGGTTGAACATGCGGGTTCTCCAAAGGCATCATTTTGAGGAGTCTATTCTTGGGTTCCACGTTCTGCCGCAAGGCATACGGGGCTATTGATATTTAGACACATTACTTCTGAGCTGCCTTAGAGTTCCCCAGTCTACCTCGGTTTGCCCATTCCCGTAATTCTCGTGCCCGGGCCCTTATGGGATCGTGATATGGTTTCCGCAAAATGGGAATTGGGGGGGGAGGCGGTTTCCCCGGAAACAGCCCCCCCAAAACTTCGCTGCTAGCAGGGGCAAGGTCGAACAGGCAAGTGGCTGGTTGCTAATGGCTCTTCCAAAGCCGTGGTTGCGAGTGCCCATGAGTGGCAACCATGGTTGCCAACCACATAGGGAATGAGGTAAGTACCCCGTGTTGGTTTTCTTTCCGGAAGTGGACAATTGGGTTTCGTTCCAATTTGTGCACATCCAATCGTGGTAAACTAGTCATGGGGAGGTCGTTTCCCACAACTATGGTATGTGTTAAATGACGCATTTGAGCCACTGAATAAAATGATTTACCTGCTGATTAAGAGGATCCCTTGTAAAGTAGGTAGTTTTGGGACGTCTTCTATTGGAACACTGTCAAAGCTTGAATGCTGTTGGTGGGGATCTTTAGACTTTAACTGAACTTGTTGGGGAAATGTGTTTCTTTTCCAACTCACCTGCAACTGAAAGCTATGGGGCAGCTTTCAGGGAGGGTTCCGGAGAGTGGGTTCCAGGGAGTTCCGCTGTTGGGGATGTACACACCAGCCAAGTTTAGAACGCCACTGTGATATAAACCGGCTGTGTTCTTTTTCGCATCCGAACGCATGGAGCCCAGGCACTGGTTGCAACTGACAGCCGGTCGCCACCTGGGTTGGTTCCACTTTTTTTTTCCCCCTTTTGTCTCCGCCTTGGGTTTCCCTTTGAACACAACCATCTCCATTGTGTTTTCCATGTTTTTGTTTCTTCTAAAAAACATATATATATATATACATATGTATGTGTTTTGTCATATGTCTTTTTTTTAATGTTCATTGTTTAAATGGGTGGGGGGTGGTCGCCCTGAAGCAGCTGGCGGGAACAAACCAACACGCCTCCCGCGCGCAGCGCGCAGGTGCGGACGGAGTGCGGGCAGCCGGAGCCGGAGGCGGAGGAGGACTCCGCCACGATGCACTACATCCGGGCGCGGCGGCAAAACGGGGCGAATCGGAGGGGTGGGTGGGGGCGGGGCAGGGGGGGGGGAAGGGGGGGGGGACAGGGGGGGGGGGGCGTTCCACATTTTTTGTTGTTGTGTGTGTGTTGTTGTTTTTTGTTCTTTGTTTTTTTTGTTTGGGCAGATGGGTGTTTTTTTTGGTCCAGAGGGTGCTCTTTTCACCTTGAGAGGGCAAGCCACCGGGGGTGTTCCGCAAGTTGGGTTCACCCACAAGTGGGTCCCCAGCAGGGCTCCTTAAAAGATACATTTTGCCCATTTGAAACATGGCTTTTTCCACCAACATAAAGGGACACCACAATTTACAAGGCAATGTTCAGGTGTATAATGTAAGGATCCCTGCCCAATTTTGAGACATACTCATTGGGATCCCTTGATCCCTTGGCCCGGGAATTCTTCGATCTTTCGGAACCACTCACCCACTGAATCAATCCTGGATTCAAGCAGGCGGAGGACTCGGGGGGTTGGTTCCTTCAAAAGTGATTCGGAGCTCCAACGAGTTGTTTTTTCTTTTTCGCATCCCTTGGTCTTTTGGCTGCTTTTTCCGTGACTAGATCCCCCAGTAGTGCCCTTTTACCCTTTTTTTGCGGAGGATTCCCCTACTAAAATAGACTACGGGAAAAAAAATGGTACCCGTATTCTAGCCTCTCTACTGGAGGACCTGAGTTGTCCAGCGTGTTGAAAGGCGGCGGGACTGACTAGGCCGACAGTCCGAGCATGGACACTTCCAGGACTTTGCAATTGATGGTTGACGCAACTGATGTAAAGGAGAATCTTTGGGTTTCAGCCTGTTCACAGATGTTCACAGGACAATTTAAAATGGGACCCTGGGCCATAGCGTGTCGCTTTCTCATGGTCAGTTCTTGGGGGGTGGCTCCTCTACGCTCAATGCACGTTAAACAACCATTCGGTTCCCTTTTTAAGTGGCCCGGTCTAGAAGTGCAATTTATTGGTGAAAGCTCTTCCAGGAGTGCTGTGGGCTCACCCAGTCACCCAGCTACCCAATCAAGGGTCAGTTCCCTTCCTTCCTTTGGCCAGATTTTCATTTTCTTTTTCCGTTCCTTACCGCAATCAATACAAACGTTGCAGGCCTCGATATGGTCCCAACACATCATGCAACAGACAGTGCTCCTTCAAAGAAGTATCCACTTTCTGGAACCCCCAATTGTTCCAGCCAGGGTGTGTTTAGCATTGCCCTGGCCTCTTGTGAAGGGGAACCCAAAGGTCGTTCGAAGAATCGCTGTTCAAACCAGAGGTTGGCCCAAGACTTCCTCTTTCTTCAACCAATAGTCCTTAAACAGGACATTAGATGGGTATGGGTCGAAATTGAGAATTGGACTACAGGTTTTCTCGTCCATGTGTTGCCATTTACTCAGGCAAGCCATGTTGGGGCTTGCCCATTTTTTTGACCACCCCCGCCAGATGCCTCTGGGTCAAAACCAATGGTCACATTTTGGGGTAGGTGAGTTCACAACCCATTTTCATCAGATCTCCTTTCTTGAACCCTGTTCCATATCCAGCACTTGGCACCTCGAGCATCTCTTACCCTATTTGTGACCACCACAGCCCTCCTTTCTTCAGCCCCCGGTCCCATCCTCCAGCGCTCACCGCGCGTCGACGTCTCTCGCCTTTGCGCGCGGCGAGGTGTGCCGTGCGCTGGGGGTGGTGCCCACAGCTGCGGTGCTGGAAATGGTGGCCCAGCTGCAAAGCGAAGGGCAGAAAGTGGCTGTGGTTGTCAAAAATAGGGTAACCCCAAACTGGCTTGCCCTGGTTTTCTGAAAAAACTTGGACGAAAAAGCCTGCGGTCCGATTCCTGGTGTAATTTTGAAAGTCAGGCCCTCCCTCAAAAAGCTTCAAAGAACCTCGTTGCAAGAGCAGGAACCTGCCGAACGACGAGCAAACTCCTCTTGCAAGAAGGTTCCTGCTAGTCTGATTCAGGGCCTGGGGAGTGGGGGCAGCGGGGGGGCCTGAGGATTGCGAGGATTCCCACCTCCGTCTTGGTCTTTTCCGACTGAAGTTAGACAGGGCATGGCCCTCTTTAAGAGTTGTTCGGGCTGCTGGTGCGACGAGGAACCGAATCCATCCCTTTTTGGATTTTGGATGGCCCGCTTCAAGGTCCTCCATGGCTCTTTCCCTTTCGGGACTCGCACCAATGGAACTCCAGCCAATGAGTTGAAGATTCCTTTCTCGGCGGGTGGGTGGGTGGTTCCCTTGACATAAAGTTCCCTTTCAGCCAACCACAAAGTTCCCAAGAAAAGTCTCGCTTCCCCCAGTTTTTTGTTTTTAGTTGTTTTTTTGTTTTTTGGTGTTAGGGGGGGGGGGGTGGGCAAACACCACAAGGTGTACACAATCCACCAGATGTACACCAGGTGTTTTCTGGGGGCAAACCACCAGATCTACACCGAATCCCAATGGCGCCTGCGACGTCCTCGCCCACTGCCAGGTGCGGAGTCGCGCCATCGCCAGCGGGGAGTTCTTGATGGACGACGAGTGCCCTGGATGGGAGGAGCTCAGCCGCGGCTTCCCTGGGCGTGGCGTGGATTCGCCCTCCCGCCCAACATGGAACCCGACCGGGTGGGAGACTAGCTTCCTCTAAAAAGAGAGTTTTTTTTTTTTGGTGGTGGGCTCCATGTGAATGCGCAACAACTACACAGCGTAGGGTTTGGGCTCCATGTGAATGGATGCCAAAGAACAGAAGGGATACAGGGTGGAAGTCCGACCCTCACCCAAGCACCATTGGCTCGAAACATGCTTTGCCAAGCGAGCCTTTGCAGAAACCCTGCGAGCGGAATGCCACCGTAGGTGCTGCTAGCAAGGGCCGTGGACTTGAGCTACGAATGTCCCATCACGTGGGCGTATGCAAGACTTTGTTTTTTTTAGGGGGGTAATAGAAGACTTGGGCTGCAATTACAAGGCATTGAGTTGGGTTCGTTCAAAGCTGCAGTCGGTTCAGGGAATCGGCAAGGATGCAGGTTCTGGCCCTTGAAAATTGCAATGGAACAAGCAGAAAGAGTAGATTCAGCGCAGGGAGCATTGAGTTTCACTCGATATGCGGCTATCCGTCTAGAGTCTAGAGGATTTTCCTTGGCTTCCTGGGAAGGTGTGGGGGGGGGGGGGAATCAATCCGAAATCCGAAATCCGAGGCTTTTGGCCATGTCCACCATGATTGGCCCCTTGGCGAGTGGAAAGGCTGGTGGGGTTGGCAGTTGAAAGGCAAATCCGAAGGTATAGAATCGTTGGAGGTCGGTGATTTTGTGAGTATACTGTACGTGAGCGACCTGTGTGCATGTTCTTTGTTTGTATGGGGAGGTCTGTGTGACTTGTTTGTATGATTTTGTATGCATAAGTCTGTTTGCTTGTATGTGTGTTGTGTGTGTGTGTGCTTGCTTGCTTGCTTGCTTGCTTGCTTGCTTGCTTGCTTGCTTGCTTGCTTGCTTGCTTGCTTGCTTGCTTGCTTGCTTGCTTGCTTGCTTGCTTGCTTGCTTGCTTGCTTGCTTGCTTGCTTGCTTGCTTGCTTGCTTGCTTGCTTGCTTGCTTGCTTGCTTGCTTGCTTGCTTGCTTGCTTGCTTGCTTTGCTTGCTTGCTTGCTTGCTTGCTTGCTTGCTTGCTTGCTTGCTTGCTTGCTTGCTTGCTTGCTTGCTTGCTTGCTTGCTTGCTTGCTTGCTTGCTTGCTTGTGTGTTTGTTTGTTTCTGTCTGTGTCTGTGCCATTCTTTGTCTGTGTCCGTTTCTGTGTCTGCAGGTCATCTCACCTTTTAGTAGGTGCAAAAGGGGGGTTGAAAGGAGCAAGGCAAACATGGGAAGGACAACGGCACGCAAAGCTTTCGGAGTTCTAGCATGAGAAAGACATGGTTGCAAAAGTCGAGGGCACTGACCATCCATCTGTCGATAGAAGTAAAACGGCAGCATTTTGTCCGATTGTCACGCAGCCAAGCGAATTTCTAGTGTCAATTTTGTTCTCCCGATTGTTTTTCTAGGTCCCCCCGTAGTGCCCTTTTACCCTTATTCTAACCTCTCTACTGGAGGACCTAGTTTTGGTACTGTTCTCGAGGAAAGCCACGCCGAATGCCTGGTCCACAGGCCACGGAAAAGCGACCGATTTGGATAATTTCTACGCGGCAACACTCGTTGGGTCTCACACAAACATAGGGAACCCCAAAAACGGGTCTTGGTTTGGGTAAACAAAATGCCGTCAGCGACCAACTTAGAGAATGTCTAAGTGGCAACCCTACTTGCGTGTGTCTCAAAATGGAGACCCCCCAAACCTGGTTGGCTTGGAATCCCTTAAACCACCACCCAAAGAAATTCCACCCAAAGGGGTTCCCTATTTTGAGATAGACCCATAGGATCCACTCACACGCTACACAGACTCCGTTTTGAGGCCACCTCGACAGCATCGCAGAGGCGCAGTGCGAGCCGGGAAATCCGTGCCTGTGGGCACGGTTTGAGGATTTTCTTGGCTTGCCCCGGGAAAAAGAACACCACCTGTCCGGGGTGGTGTGTCTGAGCATTCCCCGAGATTGGCCGGGCAAAACCGAAAGAAAAAAGAAAAGAAGCAAGCAACGACCCCTCAAATGGTGGGGGGGTCGGTCCACGCTGGTCACGTCTGACGTCTGACGCCTGACTTGGAGGTGTGCCTGGCGGACAGTGCCAAGCTCAGCGATGGGGTGCTGCAGCGCTTCCTGCGGGAGCTCTTTGGACGACCGGCCGGGGCGCCCCAGATTTTTTTCTTTTTTTTCGCCGTGAATCGGAGGGGTTGGAGGCCGGAGCATTTCTTTTTGGGGGGTGTTCCGATTTGTTCAGGTTGCGCGTTTTGGATTCGTGTTTTGAGTGTGTGTTTCCTCTTTGGGCCTTGCATTCCGAGTTTTCCGCGTTGGACACTGGTCAGCCTTTTGCGGTTGGATGCGAGGCGCAGTGCGCAGCCTTTCGGATGAAGCTCCTCTGGAGGGAAACCATGAGGACACCGGGAGCCAGTTGGATTATTTACCCATGGTTTCAAAACTACCCGGGTAGGAATTTTGAGTACTGGTTGGACTCTTCGGACAGAGAAGGGGGTGTACCACCGACTGCTTTCTTTGGACATCATTTTGGAGATTGTCCAGCCATTGTGTCCGGGTGTTTTTGAGGGTCCCCTTTGCGGCCAAGGTAACCCTCAGTGGGTGGTTTGGATTGGTGGTTTGGCTGGTTCTTGTAGAGGGCAAATGGAAGACCCCTCCGTAACCACCAAACCCCCGCGCTCCAAACGACCCACTGAGCGATGTTCCAGCCGAGCGATGTTCGCTCCAAACCACCCACCACTCACTGGGTCTGGGAATCCCCAGCTCACTTTGTCTCGCCAGTAGCCACCACGCCCCACAGGGATCCCTATATTTCCCATTTCGGCGGTTTTGATCACCTTTTTGGCCCACACAATAGCTGGCAAATGGATGTTCATCCCCAAAATGGCTCGCCATAGGTTATGCAACCCAGGGTCAAAATTAAAGCACCAGGCTACCGCAGGCTTTAGTCCATGTTTCCATCTACCAGGTACCCATGTTCGACCCACAGCCACCTCACGGATTTCGCCAGCCCCCCGGATTTCCCCATGTTGGGGTGACCCTATTTTGAGAACTAAGTGGGTACCCATTTTTGACCCACAGCCTAAGGGATTTCGCCAGCCCGACCCATTGGAAGGCCATGGACTCTTTGGAGAAGCTCAGCCTGGCGCGGTGCCGGGGCGCCGGCAGCAAGGCCATGCCGCTGCTGGTGGGCCTGCTGGTGGCGCCTCGGCTTCCAGCGAGCCAAGCGCTCGCCTTTTTTTCCCCAGGGAGGTGTTTTTTTTCACTCCCCGAGTTCCCGGCGCGACTGGACCGAAGTGTCACTTTTTGAGTTCCGGGTGCGACGTTGATCGCTTGTTGGGTGTGGTTGAACCATTTGAGTGGCGAACCCGAGAAGCTCGAGAAGTGAGGAATTGGTTTGGCTGGGGTCACTATTCTGACTGTTTCCGGGGCTTATCAAAGTCAGAAGCTGGGGTGGTTGCCCTTTAACCTACCAGTTAATTAGGGCGTGACTGAGATGGTGAAATCCTGGGTTCGGTTTGGGGTCACCAAAAACGAAGTTTTGGGTATGGCTCAAAACTGAAACAGGAATGGGTTTTGATTTTTCCGTTTACCAGGGTCAGCCATTTCGCGTACCTGTTAGTTTTGGGTTTCATGTTAATCTGCAGAGAATTCTGTGAACTTCTCTTTGTTGACGAGGACCGTACTTGTCAGGGCTCATTTCATTTCTCCTTCTTTGAACTCATTTGAGGGGATTCCAGTGATTAGTATAATTAGTTCAGATGAATCCGACATTTGCATGACCTTATTTTGGATTGGTGCAGAAAGCGCGCCACTTGTTTGCCAAAGAGTAACTCAGTTATCCTCCATTTGTCCATTGGAACTAGTTTGCCGTAAGCAAATTGACAACACAAACAAAGCAAGAACAACAATAGCTAATTTCAAGATTGGCAGAAAAAAGGAAGCACGCAAAGAAACAAAATAAGCGGATAGCCTCACGGAACTTCAAAGCCCTGGCCACTCGATGGTTTGGAATCAACTGGTCTGGTTTTGGTTCTGGGATGAACTGCGTCTGGCCGGACACACGGACTTGTGAGGGCTTGGGGGAGAGAATCGCTACGAAGTTGGGGCCTCATTTTTTTCTTCCTAGAGATAATGTCACCCGATATTTCGCCTTTTCCGTGGGGCGGACCTCTCTTTCCGTTTTTTCCCACCGGCATTGTTGATGCTTGTTGCTCTGGCTTTCTTTTTGCTTGGCCGGGGGGGGGGGGGGAGGGCGGGGAAAGGTCCAGGAGCGAGTGAAGCGAGGGCCGAATCGTTGTTCACAAACTCGCGGCATCATGTCTAGGTCCCCCAGTAGTGCCCTTCTCTCCCCTTTTTTGGGGGAGGGTTCCTTACCCAAAATAGACTACAGAAAAAAGGTTACCCTTATGCTGACCTCTCTACTGGAGCACCTAGATGTATAATATTAGAAGTTATGTGTGTGCTTGTAAGGCACGCTTCGAGGTTTGGTGAAAAGCCCATTTCGGACCAATCGCGGAGCGCAGGCGGCCAGGCAGCCCTTGTTTCCCAGTTCCTTCTTGGACACCTCCTGCCGTTGGGCCCGGTCTTGCCGGTTTGTCGGTTTTGGGGCTCCCCCGGTGTTTTTCGTTTGGCCTTGGCTTGACTTTTTCCTGCCGGCGCACTGGCGCGGCTCGCTCCCCTGGATCCCTGGCTTTCGTGGCAACCGCCCGAGGAATCCAATGGCCTCTACAAGTTGAGGCCGGGCCCAGCGGTTCGTCTTGAATGGATTCGCAGCGTTTGAAGCGGACAAGCAGAACTGCGCTTCTGTTTCTCTTGGTAGGGGGTTGGGTTGCTGGGAGGCCTTCTTTGGTGCAACAAGATGCGAACAAGATGCGGCACGCCGAAACGGAGGTTTCAGTCCTGGCCTGAGCCACAATCAAAACCCGGGTAGATGAAGGTTAGTAAGGGACGATCCCAACCAAAAATAGCTGCGGCCGCCTTCTTAATCCTGTACATGGTTCTGGGTTCACCATTTTTGTACCAGATTTTGATCACGACTCGCCTGTTCAGGAGGACTGTCATCAGGATGCTCTCCTTGAAATGAACTGGAATGAACCTATCTTCCAAGGGAAGTCCTGCGGGTTTTGCCGCCTTAGCCTTGAGGAGCCATCCAATATGCCAAGGAGAAACGGCCCCGGCCATTCCTCGATGGCCACGTGGATGCGGAAGTTTGAAGGGGACCCCCCCCCCGTTTTTCACCCTGCAAAGTGGGTGAAGGGTTGGCAAAAAAGAAGAGGTTTGGAGGGTCAAAAAACAAGAAGTTCCCCTTGACTAGGTCCTCCAGTAGTGCCCTTTTACCCTTTTTTGGGGGAGGGTTCCCCTACTAAAATAGACTTCGGGAAAAAATGGTACCCTTATTCTAACCTCTCTACTGGAGGACCTAGTTGAGGAAACCCTAAACTCCACGACCTCCAGAAGTCAACCGTCTCCGAAAAAAAAGGGAGAAAAAACACGGCTTGCAGGGTCCAAAAACCAGACATTCCCCTTGAAGACGCCCTAAAACTCCCCGACTTCCCCAGTCAAACGTCAAACCCGGGGCGGGAGACGGGAGCGGGAGCAACGGGAGGAACCTGGACATCAGCGGCATCCGGATCTCCAGCTCCACGATGACCTCTTTGTGCCGCGCCGTGCATCTGCACCCGGCCATCCGCAGCCGGAAGCCTCAGTTTTTTTTTGTTTGTTTTACTTCCGGGATGGGAGGTCCTGAGTTAACCTTGGTGCATGTTGCAGAGGGATGTTTGGACTGAGTAACTTTTTGCCAACGAATGGATTGGTTTTCCGTATTAAAAGTTCAGAATGTTCGGAACTCCCTTGAACAAGTCCATTCCCGAGGATCGACATATGTTTTTGTGTGTTTTGTTTGCCTTTTTTTTTGACAAGTTGCAAGGGTGTATGTGAGGGTTGGGACAAAAGGCGACAACTCGCATGGACAACAAGACCCTGGTGAGATACGTTCAAGGAAAAACAGTTGAGGTGTTCAAGCAAGTACGGGAAGACGATTGGCATGTTTGAGAAAGTGGTCATCACGCATCCCTGGCAGTGTCCCAGATGCACCCCACTGCTCTACTCCGTTGGCGTTTGTTCTTTATTTGTCATTGTCCGGAGTGGGTTTCCCCTCAATGCACAATCCGGCAAACTTGACCGGAGGCCTGCGGGAGTTTCCGACATCTTTCTTGTTGTTCTGTTCAGGGATCACGTTCTTCTTAAACAAACATAGCTTAACATCTAATATGTATATATATAATTATTATAACACATAGCATTATAATATTATGATTTTATAATATATTAATATTTATCTAAAACAACGTTTCCCTGCGGTTTTCGAATCGGGTTTCGTCTCTTCGGCTTCGAGTTTTCCCAGCCGAGGTCTTCACTTGCAGGACACGGGGCTGGGGATGCACCCCACGGCGGCGCAGTGCTTGGAGGAGTTGCTCAACGCCCCGTCCATGGAGGCGAGATCCCCACACCCCCCGTCCATGGAATTGGGGAGGGGGGGATTTCGACCCCTGGAGATTCCAATGGCAACCCATTTTCCCTTGTATGGGGACCAGATAGGCGATGGTATGGAGTAACGCAATGTTACTCATACTCCGGCGGTAGAAGACTTGGCCGGGCCATCAGTTGCCGGGTGCCACTGGAACTGCTCAAGCCGTCCCGTGAGAGCACAACAAGTCCGGCTATGGACCCGCCACACCCTCCCCCATAAGGTAGCGGGATGAGGCGAGTCGGTCGAATTTGATTGCCGAATCGAATCCGATCGGTCGATTTGGGGGGGGTTGGGGGAAGGCTGGTCCCAAATCAAAATCCATCACTCAAAAAACCTGCTTTCTTCACCTTCTTCTGGTTAGGGTTTTCGGGAAGGCCAGGGTCCCAGAACTCTCTGAAAAAACCAGTTCTTCCGCCGGCTGTTGGGGGAACCTCAGCCTCAAACGCCAATTGGAACTCCACAGGTCCTGGGCCTCGGTTGGAACTGCTTCTCGGAGGAGGCCCTGCGAGCGCTCGGGGACATGCGCCCCGGCGAAACCAAAGCAAAAACCAGGGCGAGTCGAGTCACTCGCGTGGGCAGGGCAGAAGACTGGCACAGGGTTTCTCCCAAAAGAAAACTTCATTGTGGTTGGCATGGTTTGAGGTTTTGGTTTGTTTGGTTCTGTTCATTTTTAGTAGGGGCTGCAAAACGCAATGTTTTTTGTTAGGTTTTTTTCCCCAACAGCTGAAAGCTTTGGGGTCTCAGCCCAGATAGGCTCCGGGGTGGTCCGGGGCAGCCCTGAGGTAAGGTTCCACGAGGGTTCCACGAGGGTTCCACGAGGTTCTTCGAGGTCTGCGGGGTGGTGCGAGCACTAAAGAGAGCACCGCATGCTGTTGGGGATATCACCTGAGCTTATTTGGTTCTGTTCATCTTTAGTAGGGGCTGCAAAACACACGGTTCTTTTTGCTACCATACCGGTTGGGTTGTAAAGTTCATGCTTGACTGAGATGGAGGTTCATGGCAAGCAGTGAACAAGACTCAGCCGACCTTTGCCCTTCTGCCTTATTGGCTTGGTGGCTCCCAGTCATCCCCTTAGCTTTTTAGCTTGTTAGTGTTTAGTCGTAGTTTCCACTTAACCCAGTCACTAAGAGTTAAACCTTTAGCGGGGGATTTGAGGGCGGCCCAGTTGGGTCTCCTTTGTTTTCTCTTTGAACGCGGACAAGATTATGATAGCAGCACGCAGCATCGTTTGCATCGGCTCATGTTCATAATCATCATCATCATCATCATCATCATCATCATCATCATCATCATCATCATCATCATCATCATCATCATCATCGTCATCATCATCATCATCATCATCATCATCATCGTCATCATCGTCATCATCGTCATCATCGTCATCATCGTCATCATCATCATCATCATCATCATCATCATCATCATCATCATGATGCTCATCCTCAGTCATCCTCATCGTCATCAGCAGCAGCAGCAGCAGCAGCAGCAGCAGCAGCAGCAGCAGCAGCAGCAGCAGCAGCAGCAGCAGCATCACCATTATCACCATCACCATCACCGTTGCCGTCCTTGTCAGCAGCAGCATCATCATGATGATCGTTATTATTCTCACGTTGTCTTCGTTGTCGTGGTCGTCGTTGTCGTACTATCTCGCAATCGCATTCCGATTGTTCTGGCGCTTTCGTGCAGCGCGGAAGCCTTCGCTCGCGCTCTTTGGAGCAAGCGCTCCCGAACATCCGAGGCTGGCGAGCCACAAACGGCTGCGGGAGCTGTACATGGCGAACTGCGACAGCTGCCAGCGCAGTGAAGGAAAGAGCTCCACACACAGATTCCTCGAAGGCTCTTCTGTTGCGGGGGGTGGGAGGGGCGAGCGGTGTGGAGCGTGTTGGGGTTTGGGGTGTACACGGGGGCGTTTGCGAGAATTTTGGGGCCCCGCAGTGATTTGGATTGCAGGTTTGGGGATTTGGATCTCTGGTTCCTATGGGTGAATGGTCAGCTAGCAACCCCTAAGCCACCAATCCAAACCACTTGCAGACGAGACCAGCTGTGCTTGGGCCAACTGCGTTGAGGGCAGACATTGAGCTTGGGCCGATTGGAAAGGGAAACCAGGGCACGGAGGACTTGTTTTGAAGCGGTCTGTTGGGGGAAGTTGCGCTCCTGGGAGATGTGTTGTAGTTTTTGGATAGACATTGTGATGCCAAGTGGGTTGTTATTACCGGCCCAGCAAAAGAAAGCCCCTTTGCTCTTGAAAAGGGCGGAGATGGAGGAGTTTGGGGATGGGTGAGTGGGGCTGGTGCTTTTGAACTTGGGTCCACGGCAGTCAAAACACACTGATCCTGAAAGAAGCCAACCATGCCGCTGTTTGACCGCAGGATGCTCGAAAGTTTGAGGGCTTGTCTCACAGCAATGCGTGAGGAGCCGCTGTTTGATGGGTTTCTTTCAGGAACAAATGAGAAAATGTAGCTGGGGCATTCCTTTTGTCAAGCAAGCGTTGGCTTGGCTTTGACCAGACACGACTTGATTGCAAGTTGCTTTGGAACCCAATGAGCTTTGGGTCATACTTCCCTTGACACCCTTTGAAGTCAGTTACTCAGTTGATCTGCAACCCAGTCGTTCAATTTCCCTCGTCCTGGGGCCCAGTGCGGCCTGTGGCGCAGGCCTTTATCGGAACAGCAGCTTGAAGATGCTGGACATCTCCATGAATCGCCTCACGCACAAGAGCGCTCTAATCATCGAGGCGCTCTGTTCATCGGTCACAAAAAGTAGATACCTTCTGATTTCGGCCGCTAGATGGCCATGGGTTGCATAACCTATGGCGAGCCATTTTTGGGGTGGATGAACATCCATTTGCCACCTATTTTGATGTTCACCAGGGGTACAGGGTTTTGACCCACAGCCATATATGTCCATTTTTGCGGCAAAGTTCAGACGCTCAGACGTTTTTTTCTGGCCAATCCACGTCAGAAGTGAGTAAATGTGCTGCATGCTTCCATCATTGACTCCTTTTTGGCTACTTGGTAACGGATCTTTGGACTTTAGCTTTTTGGTTGAAGCAACTGGAATTGTCCGTTGGACCCACAAAAAGTTAGAAGCTTTTCGCCGAGGGGTCGCTACAGCGTCCAAGAATACCTTCCTGGAGAATCAAAGGCTTTGCCATTGGGAGCCATTGGTTTCAATTGCTAGAGGGTCCCTTTCAGGTTCCAGAGCGACGTGCGCAAGCTGATTTCGGGGAGTTCTTATATGGCCTCTTGCGTTGTTGGGCTGGGAGGCATGCGTGGATTTTCATGACTTTGAGGGGTATCCCCTTGCAATGTTCTTCCAGGGGTCTAAGGGCGATTCTGAACATGGATCGGTTTGTTTGGTTCCAGCATGACTCTGCAGAACGACATAATCGGAGCTCGCGGCGGATTCTCGGGAGGACTCCTTGGCGAAGCATGCCAAGCTGCAGGACGGGAAATGGGTTTGGTGCAGGCCCGCTTTTCCCCCATGCTGTCTAGGTTCCCCAGCCAAGTGCCCTTTCTCACCCCTTTTTTGGGGGAACCAACAACAACGGGGCACCCTTATTCTATCCTCTCTGCTGGAGAACCTAGCTGTGGTTTGGGGTCGCCTTTACAGCTGGCGTGACATGGGGCAAGACAAATTGAGCTTAGGCCCGTCTCCTTCGGATGTCCCGTGAGTCGGCATCCGAAACATCCGGCTGTGGTGCTTGGCGCATTGCCAACTCGGCATGACGGGGCCAATTCACGCACTTGGAGGCAGCGGTCTCTTTCATTGCCGCCCTAGCTCGGGACTTTTGCTGATACAATGCCAGTAGTGCCCTTTTACCAACTTTTTTGGGGGAGGGTTCCCCTACTAAAATAAACTACAGAAAGAAGTTGGCACCCTTATTCTAACCTCTCTACTCAAGGATCTACATGCATCTTGAGGTTCACAGAATATGGCCCAGAACATGCGATCTTTAGTTGAGCAGCTTGTGCTGGGGCAGGCCGGTCTTGGTGGTTTCACTGGGGGTTGGTTGCGAAATTGGCTGAAACCACCATTTGCCACGGCTTGTCAGGGGCATTGCCGGGCTTTGCAGGATGGGTTACTCAAATGGCCATTTTGCCGCAAGACCAAGAGGCAAATCAGCAATTCGGTTGGAAGCACCGCCAGCGGAGGAGCTCTACATTGGGCAAAACCCTCTTGGCAAGCACGGCCTTAGGCGGGGTAATCCAGGCAGTCTGCAACAGATCGGTGCCGCTTGGCCCTGGGAGAGCCTTGGTGAACCTCCGTTGACGAAGTCAGCATGGGATGTATGACGGCGCACAAAGGTATACCTGCAGACATGGAAAAGCTCCTTATGGAAATGGCCCCGGAAAGATCGTACAGCTTCGAGATTGACATTTCCTGCGGTGGATTAACGAAAGCGCAAAGGGGTGACCAAAAAAGGATATGCCTCTAGAGTGGATCGTTGGTTTGGGATTCCAATGTCATCAGCTAATACTCTTGGGCGCCAATGTTTGCCAAAAGGGCGCGAATTGGGTATCAAGTGGAGGGCCGCGTGTGTGTTTGTGGGCAAATTTCAACGAGCTCCCCGAGTGGAAAGTCAAGCATCTTGCAGCTCACGATGAAAGTCCCTTACTTGGGAGATTCCTTCTTGCCGCTTGGCGAGGAAAATTGATACGCGCCAGCATAGGTGTCCTTTCTAGTCTGCGCTGCAATACCAATACACCAGTGCCATCTCTTTTCCTTTCCCATAAAGGCCACCTATGCGCACCAGTCAGTTACACCCCCTCGGACCAACCGAAGGCCTCCGTACATGGAACCAAGTCTTCCAAAGTCCCGAAAAGCCTTCCTTCGCCTAGTCTGGGGGAGGGGCCTCCTTTTCCGACACCTAGGCCTCCGATGCGCCCAGCTCCCCTGCCACCCGCGCGGGCCTCGCGCGAATGTGCGCGCGAGGTGCCTGCTGCGGCTGCTGAGTTTGCCCAGCTGCGGCCTGCGGCGCCTGGAGGCCTTGGGCTGCCAAGGCCGTCCGAGTCGTCGCGATCGAGTCCGAAACGCGTTAAACAACGGCGACGGGGGGGCGAAGACGTCGAAGGAAGGCGTGGAAGGCCAACATCGCATACGGGCAAGAAGCCAACAAGGGGGGGAAACACATAGTCATGATGAAATGATTTTGTTGTTGCTTGTCAGGATTTCCCCTGTCATCCAGCTGGAAATCACTTTTGCGGGATGTCTAAGTCTGGCCCAGTTCGCTCCCCGGTCTTCGGTAGATCCGACACTGGAGGACCTAGACAGTCTTATGCATGTTCTGACGACTCCAGCGGTTATGTTTCATCCAGAGTGGGCCGACTCATGTTCGCAGTCGGCAAACAAAGGAGGAAAGGTTTGGAGACCAGCTACCAGAAGGCATGCAGGAAGGGACGTTACCAAAGCTGATCCCTGTGGGAAAGCAGCCGGGTCCCAGATTTTAGGGAACTTCCCGCGGGCCCGTTTTTGATTGAAGGGAACAGGGGGTGAACGAGCCTTTTTATTTGGGAGGGGGGTGAGCGGGGGTTGGTTGGTTGTTCAAGGGAAAGAGGGGTGAATCAAACCAAAACACTTCTATTTGGTTGATTACTGAAGGGAAAGAGGTGGGAAGGACCAAGCCTCCAAGCCATTTCTGGTATTTTCTTTTTTCGATCGCATGCAACTTGAGTTACAAAGGCATCCCCTTTGTAGTTCTTTTCCCCTGGGATCGTAGATTGGGAATGGCCGAGCCTCCGTTTTGAATACTGAGACTAGCCTTGAGTCTGCTACTTTGAGTGAGGGTTCTCAAGCTGACTTCTGGAGAACCGCAACTGAGAGAACCCAACTGACTCTCCAGAAGTCAGTAAGGGTTCTCAAACTGACTTCCGAGAACCCTCATTGAGGGTTTTCCCTTCAAACCGCAACTGACAGAGCAACTTTGAGGATGCCTTACAAAAACGGACCCAGAGACGAGTGACGCCGTTTCTTCCCCGGGCGAGGTCTTCCCCAAAAAGGCCCCCCCCCCCACCGCACGGGTCCGGTTCGTTTCGACCAGGCGCGGACGCGCAAGAGCTGAGCTCCTTCCAAGCCACGGAGCCCACCGGCTACCACACGCCCCTTGCGACGCATTCGCTTTTCGTCGTCAAAGTCGAGCTGCCAGTTCTATGGCGAGCTCCGGGGAATCTGGGGGGGGGGGGGGTAAAAAACGAGGGCACCCAAAAGGGTTTTTTTACTGCGGCACACTCTTTTGCCAAACTCTCGAAGTTTGACGCTCATCTCGCCTCAAAACAAGGACCACGCCCCGAGACTGCATTCATGGCGGGGTCTTCTTGTTTTCCTCACTCTGACCTAGACGTCACGCTAGTGGATCCAGTCTGTCTGCCACTGCAGGTTAGACCTCAACCTAGCACACGGCAGGCGGGCGATTCAATGGGATCGGGGGTTGTGCGGGCTGTGTTGTGTGTGTGGGTGTGTGTGTGTGTGGTGTGTTGGACGTTTGTGATAGTGTTTGTGTTTGTGTTTCTTTTTGTCATTGTGTTTTTGCTTGTTTGTCTTTTTTGTTTGCTTGTCTTGTTTTGCGTTCTGTGTTTTGGTGGCAGTTTTGGCCCTGAGCACGAAGCAGCAAGCAAGGGAGCAAAGCGAAACCCCGAATCCAGAACTTCTTCTGAAGCTTGGTGTTTTGGTGTTCCGTTCTTGCGTGGCTGCCTCGCTTTCTGAAACATGGCCAGTGCTGACATGTACTTGTGCGTGTGTGTCATCTGGGACCTGGCTTGTTTGATACGTGTCCATGACACGGTGTTGGGTCATGAGTCTTCCCACCATGAAGCTTGCTGCTCTGAGTCCAAGGGTCTCCATACAACTTTTGGTTTTGGGTGGCCCAATTTGGGTGAGTTTCTCCGCGACGTGAGCTCGGATAGGAAGTTTTTCACACACCCCGCCCGTTTTGCGGGCCCTGCGCCTCATCCAAAACTCGATGAGCTCGGCTCCGGGAAGGCGGAGATTGCACGAACCTTCGCCAGGTCCCTGCTGCGGCTGCTGTACAAGACCTGCGAGAGCCTTCGCCTCGACTTGAAGGAGGTGCGCAAATTGGGGGGCCGGCGGTTGCGACCGCTGGCGTCCCCGGAATTTCCCCGGTACATTGGGCACTCTACAAAACTAAGTCCCCCAGCTAGGTGCCCTTTTACTAACTTTTTTTTGGGAGGGTTCCCCTCTAAAAACTAAGTTATTCCAAACTCTCTACTGGAGAAGATAGAAAAGCTGCCGGTTGGTGACGAGCACAGGACGCTCGTTGATTGACACACGGCTCGTCTCTCCGTCAACTGCTTTCTGTATTTGCAAAGTTGATCAACGTTGGTGACAAGAAATTCCGGTTTTGCTACCAAAGGCCAGATCGATGACCAAAGGCCTCCATTTTGGTTTTCCTCCACATTTGTTGAGACTCAGATTGATGACCAGAGCAGGCCAGAGTCTCAAGTTTTTGGTCCACGACGCGGCCGCCCGCAGAGTCTTTTTCTTTTCGGGAAAAGATGTGAATGGGAACCCCGGAGTAATAAAGCCCCTGGTTGAGAAGTACGGGGGAAGCCCCTTTGTAGTGGGAGTTCATCATTGGAGGGGCACCCCCCTAGTAATAGAGCCGATAGATGAATCCCGGGGTCACGTTAAGAGAAAAGTGATTGAACCAGGTTAGCTGCCCTGAATCTGAACATCCGAAACAGGCGGCCGACAAGGCTGACTTCCCCAGTTTCTGGACTTTCTACAAAGTTTTTGGTGAGAAACTCGCAAGTATGCAGAGTGTTCTTCTATCAGGATGCCCTTCATCCCATGAAACCACCTGGCCATTCTTGCACGCACACCCGGAAGAAGTTGCAGGCCTTCCAGCGTGCCAGCTACGTCGTATCTGAGAGGCGTGACCGGCGGTATCTGGCCCGTTTTGCCTGTGCTGGAGGGTCATGTCGTGTGATAGGAAATCCCGCTCTTTGGTCGAGAGTCTTGTACGTTTAATAAATTTAGGGTGTTGCCGCCGACGGTGTATATGCATGCGTGTGTGTGTGTGTGTGTGTGTGTGTGTGTGTGTGTGTGTGTGTGTGTGTGTGTGTGTGTGTGTGTGTGTGTGTGTGTGTGTGTGTGTGTGTGTGTGTGTGTGTGTGTGTGTGTGTGTGTGTGTGTGTGTGTGTGTGTGTTTTTGTGTGTGTGTGTGTGTCCGTGTGTGTTTTTGCTTTTAGACCCTTTGTAGTTGTATGGCTATTTTGTTGGATCTTTGGACATTTAGCTTTCCATCGGACCACCAAAAAGTTAAACTTTTTGCGGAGGGGTCAACAGCAACCAAGATAGGTTGCTTTTAAAGGCGCTGGTTTGGAGGTTCCGATTCAGAGACAAACCCACGTAGGTCGACTTGCCAAGGAACTCTAGGGAAGTTGGACTATACTTGCACATTTGGAACACTTTCTCCCTTGTGATCGACCTTTTTTTGTCAAGGTTAGGGATGCGAAGGCTTCATCTGCAAGGCTTCACACACAGGCTTCTGGTTGCAAACCAAGTTCGGGACCCAGGATGAAAGTTCTTAGGTTTTCTTATGTCTGGTAATCTGCCTAGATGCTCGTGGGAAACAGGATCGACCTGTCAACAAAATCCGGATTTGTGCCAAAACCTGGAACGCTTCCAAAAGTTTGTGTTTTCTTGCTTTGCTTGATGAATCGTTCATTCTTCCTTTCCTGGAAGCGGGAAAACCTGGTTGAATGGCCTGGGGTTGAAGCGAGCGAACATTTATGATGGTCCTCATGGATTCCTTATTTCCAAGTGTGGGAACTGCTGCTTTTCCTTTGCAGACTCCTGAGCGCCGCGGATTCCAGTTCTTTTTTGGTTGGTTAGAACTTACAGCCACTTTGTCGGTGAAAGAGCCCCCAGCTTGATCAGAGGTGGTTCCCACATCGGGGCGAATGATCAACTGGATGATTTTTTCCGCTTTTGCAGGCCAGATGACTCCGAAGGGAACAAAGGGCATCCTCAAGCGTTTCCTCTTGGGCTTCCATTTGATGAACATTCAGGCAAACCACTACGGCTGTAAGTTTCTACTCCAAGGATGGGTCACAAAAAAGGCACGAACTGTGGCTCTCACTTTGCAGCGCGAAATTTTGAACGCACAGTAGCTCGTTGGGCTGCTTGGATGGATTGTTCAACCTGGCTCTTTGGGAGTGACTTGGGGCCAGCAGCGGTGATAAGGCTAAAGGAAGGAATGGTGGCAATGATGTTGGGGGGGTCGATGCATGTTCGAGGCTATTTTGCGGCCCGAACCTAGATTCGGTTCAGATGTTCGAGATTTGGTTGTAGGCCTCCTTGATCACAGAGGCAACAAATTGTTTGTGTGGTCGCACTGCCGCATGTGCATCAGTCCTTTGCATCCGCACACCCGCGCAGGCAGATTCCGTCAGCAACTCAGCGGCGGGGTGTCGTCGGCCGCCGCATGCTGCGGGTCACAACGTGCTTACAAGGGGACATGTGTGAAGCTTGAAAGACACTTATGGGAACCTGGACTGATTTGGCCACCCTTGGCGGCTGGTTAAGAAAGACCAGGCCTTGATTCACCTGCACGAGGCGGCCCGGCCAACGCCTTCAGTTTCTTCACAAGGATTGAAGAGCGCAAAAGTTCGCCCTTCTGACCAAAACGCACAGAGCCTGTGACAACAACACCGCAGATGACCCACCTGCCCAATGGGAGCGGCGGTTTGGTGAATGTTGTGTATGCTCGTACTTGTGTCTGGACTTGCTGTGTTTGCGATTCCCGGGTGAGAACAGCCATGTCTTGTCGCAATGTAGGTGCTGCTCACGCCCTCGACTTTCACATCTGCGGACGACCTGAAATGAAGCAGAGGGTGACTCCAGCAGCAATCAAACATAAAGTCACCTTGCACATTAGACGACAAGTCAGTACAATGGCCTCGTGGTTGTGGTTTTTGAAGAAGGCGGGGAAAGCATGTTTTACACATGTTGGGCACATCTTGTAGGGCGGTGGTTTTTGGCCCAACCGGCGCTTGCCGGTTGATTGCGCCTGTGGATGTCTTGGCGCGCTGAGGTTCCCTCATCCCTCGGGCAAGGATGGGAATGGCGCCGGGGCCACAGGCTGCCGTGACTTGCTGCTGAGACGGGGTCCAGCTACCCTTTCCAGGGGGCACTTCCATTTCCATTCTTTCCAGGGATCCGAATCTTTTCAGAAAAGCATCAGAACCCCAGGGGAAACAGCGATCGGTTTTTGCAAGGTCCAGGATGGTTGAAAAGAATGGGGAATCAACCCCTAGACCCTTAGCAAAGCTACCTGCAAAGGCAATTAACCACTATGTACACTAGTGACTAAATGAAGGATGGAAACATTGTCTTCCCTTCGGGTAGGCTTAGATAGATTTGCTTTGCCATGAATCAATACGTGCTTGAGCAAGAGCGGGCGAGCGAGAGAGGGTGGAGGGTAACTTGGGTTGCCAAGCTTCAGCACCCTGCCATGGGGGCACTTGCTATGTCGCCCCTGCGCCGCACTCGCACAGCTGCGGGGTCGCCAATTCAATTTCAGACCCAAATCAGGAAGGCTGCCGAACGGAAGGTGCGCTGGCAGGTTGTGCGAGCGGTGTGGTTCCATCATCCAAGGTCAACGCCAGCTTCGTTTGTGTTGTGAGTTTTTCTAAGCTAGGGAGCCCTCAAAACAGGCTGGTTCTTTCCGGTTTCCTTTCACCAACTCCAAGGGGGTCCCTATCTCTGTCCACAGTTTCGACGTCCAGGGCTCAGGCCCTCATCGTGGCAAAATTCCCAGGGCCCCGGATCAGTTCCGACCTGAACCCGTTGCTGTCCTTGAGGGTACCCTTGGAGTTCCTGCATTTTTTGGAACCTCCTCTTTGGGGGGCCCTGTGAGGCAGGCCCAGCCAGGTTTTGGCGAACTTATCCAGATGGCTATGTGCCATGTGTAGATCAGGGGAAAAGGAATACCTTTTGCCTCAAAAAGGCACATCCTGACCCAGGTGTATCCCGTTCCGATCACTGGGGTCTTCAGCTTCTTCTTCTGCATCGATGCAGCCACTTGGCCTCCAGTTAGGTGGGGTCTAGTCATCCTTATCAATTGACTGCTATTAGGTTGGATCTTTAGACTTTAAGTTTTGGGGAAACCAAGTTGGGTTTTCCACTAAACCCCCTAAAAGTTAAACACTTTTTGCAGGGGGGTCAACAGCAACCAAGATTAAGCGCAGCAAAGCAACTGCTGGGCCGAATTGCCCGTTTTTGGTTTGGCACCTGGCCAAGGGAGCAGCTTTTAGGCAGACACCTCCTGCACGGAGATGTTCCACGGATGCTTTGGGAAGTCCTCGCGACTCGATTCCTCGTGCTTGGGCTTCGCGTCGATTCGACCCACATGGAAGTCACCAGGCCAAAGGATTCTCCAGCAAATTATATATATATCTCGAACATGTCATGCATATTTTTGTTCCAAGCCCATTGCCTCCTTCACACTGCGCTGAAGAAAGAAAAGCTGTTCACCATGACTCACCGGTGTACACCAGCCATTCGGCACGCTCTCAACACAAAAGGGCCCAAACCTGGCTTCATGATCTTGCCGTTGTTAAACTACTATGCACTTCTTCATCCAACCTGAAGACGGATTGGTGGGTTTTTGGTTTTGCCCTGGAAATGAGATGGCCGATTCTGCTGCATGAGTTTACCTCAAAGTGTGCGCGCGCGCGCGTGTGTGTGTGTGTGTGTGTGCGCGTGTGTGTCACGCGCAGTGCCCTTCTAACTGACGGTTCAACAGTTTCATGTTGCGTATGTTGGTTGCTTTTGAAGTGTGCCAAAAGGGTCCCATTCAGCTTTTGTGACCCATGGTTTCTGTCATCACCATCCCAAGATGTAGAAAGATATTCCAATAGACACTGGCTCCACTGGGAGCGAACCATGCAAAGCAGGAACCCTTCCAATTTGAGCAACCTCGCTGCTCCTAATCCAGGCTCGAAGACCTCTGACAAATGAAACTGGCGAGCTAGAATGTGCTATGTGTTTCCGTTTTTGGGCCGTCAGTTCCCCCAAATATGAGATCTTCAATTCCACCAAAGCTTGGAGGAGGCTCTGATGGAAATCAACGAATTGCGTTGCCACAAGACATATGGGGTGAAGGACCAATGGTACCATTTTGGAGTAGGTGAATTCTCAGCACCCATTTTAGAACCATTTACCAGAGATCAAGCGAACAAGAACCTCGGCGTTTGCCACGTAGGCCCGGCGCCGCCTGGCGCCCACCGAGGGCCTCGAGGGCAGGCAGGATCCGCAGTAAAACTTTTGAACCAGTCACACTTTGCTTTTCATCTGTACCCCCTTTCAAATGAGAACCTGGGTTACTGCAGTCGCAATTTGCGGATCCGAGTGCTGAGGCTTCGAGATTGCAGTTTGGAACCAGTCGCAATTTGGAACCACCGCAGAGTCAAAGTGCGACTTCGAGATGGCAGCGCCTGACCCACAAGGCACCTGGTCCCGCAGTTCAACGATTTTGCCTAGGAATTCTTTCTTGATGTGAGCAGCAAGTCCGATGTGGGAAAAGCCATGTGCTTGCATGGGATGCACACGTCGTCTTCACCTTTTTGGCCTTAGATCTAACGCTTAAACTGCAGTCCAACAGTTTTGCGGCGAGGATCCACAGCAGTGCTGGCGTTCCGTCCAATCCCAGATCCTCAGCCACACGGACCTGGTATTTGGCCTGACTTTCTCAGGGAGCTGAAGCCAAAAGGTTCAATCATGGCCATGGGCTTTTCAAAATCCAAATCGGTTAGGTTTCAGTGAACATCCAATCCACACAATAGGTTCTAAAACGGGTGGTGAATCCACCCAACCGATCCCAAAGCGGTTTTGACCACAGCCACATCTTCTGAATTCCGCTTGAGTCAAAGTTATTCGTTGCGAAAGCAATGGAGTGGTCAAGCCCAAAGCTACCGGTGACTTGCAGCTGTTCCTGGAGGGCGGCCACCGTTTGGTTTTCTCTGGTCAACCCAAAAAGCGAAATGAGGCAGCCCAAGGCGGTTGTCCTTTTGTGTTTTTGGTGGCAAGCCCGAAGGCCATCCGGTTCAACTTAGCTTTTTGGATCCTTTTAGCTGGTTTGGTGGTAGTTTCCGAATTTATCCCACGAAAGGTTAGTCACTTTTGGGAACAGCCCAAGACGGGAACTCCTTGCGTCTGCGTTGCTTTGTTGCGGTGCCCTTTTCACCTTTGGTTAAGAGAAAGCCAAACTGGGCTGTCCTCAGATCCCCGGCTAAGCTCCGAGCTCCGAGCTCCCGACTCGCTCGGCAGGTTCCGAGGCCCCCGGCCGGTGGGGTCCATCTACTTGGACCAACACTTCGCGGGAGCCTTAGAGCCTTAGCTTTGGTGCATGTTGCCAAGGGATGTTGGGACAGAATAACTTTTTGCCAACTAGTGAATTTGTTTACGGGAAAATCTTCAGGAAATGGCACCCCAAAACACCCTAAATCAGCTGTTTTCCTGTAGAATTCCCTGCAACCCAACCCCAGCCAGAGTCATCCTTTACTTCAAACGCCACAGCTCTGAGCCACACAGCTCCTACAGTCATCGGTAGGGGGTTTCATCAGCTCGCCTCTGAGCCCAACCCTAACTCGGATGCTTTCTGCTCCCCTGCTAAAAGTTTAACTTTTAGCGGTTTAATACCCTTTGAAACTACTCCGGTGTAGTAAAGGATGACTCTGGCTGCTTTTTTTTTGGTAGGGAATGAGGATTTTCCATTGAACCCACAACAAGTTAGAAGCTTTTTGCAGAGGGGTCAACGGCAACCAAGTGGTGAATTAACATTTTGAGCTCGAAAGGATTGGTCTATTAGTCAAACGGCAACCGCCCGTTTCATTTCCGACATGGGATCTACAAGTGGCACCAGCGCGCAGACAGATGCTCTCTTTTGAAAAACCCCCCAGAGTGGGCTGTTGATATGGGCGCCTGCTTTTGGAGGGCAATCTTTTTCAGCCTGGTTTACAGGAAACCTGCGAGGACTGCTAATTTTTGGGGTCCCGCGCTTTTTCTTCTTCGTTTTTTTTCCGACTCATGTGGCGCTTGCTTTGGACGCGAGAGAGCGGCCGTCCCAGCAAGTCAAAGAGACCGCCGCGGCTGCAGCAACGGTCGCCTGCAGCCGTGGTTCAAACCGATGTCGCGGCTTCCCGAAAACTCCGCTCAGATCTGGTTCTTGCCCCACAGAAAAAGGGTCTTTTGGGTTGCGACTTCAGGTCACGCTTTTTTTTGTTTCTGCCGAGTGAGATAAGAGTTGCCTATTGTTTTTTGGAGGGTTGCTAGGCCCCCCCAGTGCCCTATTACCCCTTTTTTTGGGGGAGGGTTCCCCTACTAAAATAGACTACCAAAAAAAACACGGCTACCTTATTCTAACCTCTCTACTGGAGGACCTAGTCTCTAATTGTTGGTTTGAAGCCCGGTGGTTTGGTTAATGATCTCCCATGTACCCTCTACGAGTGAGATGAGAGTTGCCTCTCTTTTTCTGGAGCCTCGGTTTCTCAGAATTTTCCGTGTTTTTTTTTTTTTTAAAAATTTTTTTTTCCTTGGACGCATGGCGAGACGCGAACACGAAATCACTGGACTGGACCCTTTCGCCAGGCGCTGCTGCGCAGGAAGCTGACCTTGAAAAAGGCGCCTGTTGCCCGTTTTTCCCCGCTCGCTCTGAGCGGGTGAGCGCGTGCTCGCTTCATCCGTTTGACGGCGGGGCCGGGTCCGGGTAGGGGTAAAAGCTACCCTTTTTGGCGGGGGCAACCGGTTTTCTTTTTTTGTGTGTGTGTGGTGCTGTGAGGAACTGTGTGTAAGTCTGTAGGCCCTGTTGCACATCTGTTCCAGGGATCCCTGTGCACGCTTGTCCAACACTGTGAGGACACGGGGTCGCTTGATGGGGCCACCATGTGGACCGTATCGCATGCTGTGATTCTGGTATGGGTGTGCGTGTGTCTCGGTGAATCAGGGTCCAGACATTGTGGCCAGGAAATACGATGATATAGGTGTCACATCCTGATCAAAGTGCACATGTCTACTTCCATGATTTTTTGGCCCACAACTTGGGCCGTCAATGTTTATGCCCTCATCTTGGAGCGAACTGAATCTGTCTCAGGGCTTCCAGGCTTCCGGGCTTCCGGGCTTCCGTTCTTCAAAGGGGTTGAGAAGCAACGCTCATGGTCAGACAATAGTTGTAACGTGGGTATTATTCTTGGCCGAATCCTATTTTGGTTGGTGTTGAAGGGAATCCAAAAGGAAACCAACGAATTTCGGGTACCCACCATTTTGAGACAACCTCTGTAAAAATCATCAATCCTGCAATTCAGCCAGGAAACATGGTTGATGGCGAGCTCACCTAAAGGGCCTGGGGTAAAACGAGCTCGCCATGTTGACATATTGTAAAGTTTGCAGATATTCGTCGTATATCTTTGTTCCATACCCACGAAAGTAGAAAGCTTTCTGCAGAGGGGACCTTACAGCAACCAACACTCATGCTTTTCCTCTTTCACCACCCAGCCATTCTTAAGTTAGTTTGGTAGAACTAGATGGCTTCCGCAGCTTTAGATTGGTGTTTATGGCATCATCAATGTTTCCCAAAAGGAGACCAATGCACCCAGCTGGTCCTTCCAGCAACTGCCCTCCCACCAATGAACACAGAACCTGCCAGGGGGGTGTCCTGGAAGACTTCTTTTCCTTCTAAAGGGACCCGGTCCCTGTGAGGTTCCGTGAAAAAAAATCATCCAGTGAGTTGTGTTTGTTCCTTGACCACCGGGGCATGGATCGATCGCATTTCAGGTGGTGCCTCTGCTGTCCCAATTCAAAAGCCCGGGGCCTCGAATCCCGAAACCCGAAACTCGTCCGGCGCTCGCTGGATGCCTGGGTGGTGAGCCGGTTCGTGACCCTGCCTAGAAGCAAAGGTGGGTGAAGCTGACAGGCGGTCGTTTAAAAAAAGGAAAAGTTTTGCAGCTGGCTACCACCATCCTGTTTTTGGGGGTGGTCAGCCATTCATCCTTTCCGTCCTTGACCATCAGTTGGAATACAGGCTGCACGTGTTGCCAAGCCGCGTTTGGGGCCGCCAGGAATCCAGGCCTGGGGGCTGTGTGAAGGCGTTGGGAAAGGCGAGCTCACTGGGCGGCAAAATACGGAATCGCAGCCTTGGGTTCTGTATTCCTCAGATGAACATGGAATCCAAACAAATCCTTGTTTTCAGAGGAATCTCTGGGCGAACTCCTGTTATGGCGTTCCATGCTATTCTTCCCACTACTTGCAGATTCAGGCAGATTCAGGCAGTATGTGCTCAGTGTTTGTTCCGGACACGTTGTTTTATGGGACGTAGCTACATGTAGCTGCTGTATTAAACCAGCCATGAGCCCACCAGGTGATGATGCTTCCCTCTACTAGGTCCCCCAGTAATGCCCTTTCTCACCCATTTTTTGGGGGAGGGTTCCCCTACAAAAATAGACAAATAGACAACAGACAACAGGGGACCCTTATTCTAGCCTCTCTGCTGGAGGACCTAGTCTCTAATTGTTGGTTTGGAGCCCGGTGGTTTGGTGGTTAAGGGGTGATATCATTGCGGGTCCTCCGCACGAAACGGGGGTTTCAAGCTTCAAACCACCAAATTCAAACCACCGATTCAGGATTTTTCCTCCTCGTCTTCCAGCGATTTTCGGGAGCAACCCACATCAAAAGTTGCGCCTGAGGCATATGAAGGCCGGGGAGATGGTAGAAAGACGAGGTTTGTCGATACCCATCAATTGGGGTGGCTCCAAATGCAAACAAAAGGACATCCGTCAGTTGTTTGGATCCTCTATTTTGAGACAAACATGCAGAATATTTCTTCGTAACCCTTTCTCATCTCGAAGTCTTCTAGTCCCGCCGGCTCGTTACGTTGCAATGACAGCTGTGAAACAACTGCGAGCTTCTATGATTCTTCTCTTTCCCTTTCCCGTCGTGGAATCTTGGTGAACAAATGAGATGAGCCCGGCCGCCATCACCCAACCCTTACCCCCGGACATTATCATAAGATAATATGCGTATGGGTCAATATAAAACAACAAGAGGAGTGCAGGTGTTGGTCCATGTTTCCATTTACCAGGGTTCCATGTTGGTGCCTATTTTGACCCACGGCCATGTCTTTTTCTTAAGAGGTCTTCATCATTTCATCCTTCATGTCATCCCTGTGCATCGCTTGGCCTTCCAATGCATCTTGTGTGGGCTCAGGTTTGAAAGGCCGCCCGGATGAGCAGAAGCTCATCCTGGAGCCGGGCGGGAGGGGGGGGCATGGCTGAGGTTTGGTCAAAGCACTCGGGGTCGGTACTGTGTACGTCGGAGGGAAGCAAGTGGCTAGTCAAGCCAGTGACAGGGCGAATTCCACGTCTGAGTGAGTTGTAACCTACTACCAAGTGTAGGTCCAAGTTAGTAAGTGGCTAGTCAACCCAGCAACAGGGTGAATTCCACTGAAGAGACTTATGAGTGGGTTGCAACCTATACCAACAACTTCTTAACTTGGCAGAAGACCGAAGTGCGGATGTTCGTGGGTCTCTTAGGCCGGTTTCGAACACTGGAAAGGTTCCAAGGGAAGGAGCTTTGACCATGGCGAGCCATTGGTTTTGTCAAGACATGGGGGGCAGAGACTTGCTATTTATCTCAGAGCCGAAGAACATATCCGTGCCACGTATGGGTATGTTCCAAACACAAGAGACCCTGCCAGATGTACGACATGTCCCTTCACTGGCCAGGTTTGCCCTGTACAATCCGGGGCGGGCTTGCGGCTTGCCCCCCCCCAGCCCCATCGTTCCCCCCAAACTCCCCCTTCCCTGTGGTTGAGGATTGGTTTTCGGGGAGTGGTTGGGGGTGGGGGGGTTGGAAAAGGCTGGTCAAAGGTTGGTTTAGTTTAGCGGGTCTGGGCTGGCTTTTTGGTTAGATATAGGATTGGGTTCAGGGTGGGTGACTTGGCGTGTGTTTAGGGTTTGTTCAGTGCTGGTTCAGGAGGTTGCGGTTGGCTGTCGTGTTAATCAAGGGTTTAGACTTGGTGAGTTGTTTCAGAGGCGTTGCGGGCTGGTTTGAGGTGAGTTTAGCGTGGAGTTATGTTATTCTCAGGGTTTGGACTTCGTATTAGTTGTTTTTTTTTTTTGTTTTTTCTTAATGGTTCAGGCTCGGCTTAAGGAAAGCTGGTGAAGAGGGGTGGTGCTCCAGAGCGGGTCTATGAAGGTTCGCTTTGGGCTGCTCAGGGTGCCAAAGCTGGGGCTGCTGGGGATGCCGCTGCTGGGGATGCCGATGCTGGGGATGCCGATGCTGGGGATGAGGGTGCTGATGGCCCTTTTGGAAAATATCCGCATAAACTGGGCTACAGGAAGTCTTGTTGGAACCCTGGAGTGAATAGAATGCAAGCGAGGTCCCTTACGGATTTCGGATTCACTTGGCGGGGATGCACCTAAGCCCGAACTCACCCAGAATCCACTCGAAACCTGACCTGAATTCACCCTTGTCCCAAAAGAAAAAAATCGTTGCGACGACTGTCTCCGCTTTGTTTCAAGAGTCCATCTCCACTTGTTGATTCCAGCTAACAGGCGAGGCCAACATCCTATCGGAATTGTCATGCGACACAAGTCGGATCTCGTGAGGAACCAGAAAGCATCAGCCACAATTGCTGGGCATTCGCCAAGTGCAACCTTAAGTTATCACCAAACTCAGATGAGCCTCACTGCGAGAGCCATTATTGTGAGCGCTTCGCGTTGCCCGCCTCGAGGCCACAACATGCACCCTGCGCGGCCGACTCACTCATTCAAGCAAACACAACACTTCAAGGCAAGCCAACGAGCAGTACCTCAAAGCCAGGCAAAACCATTCTGCCCGAGGGCAAGATAGAACGAGAGCCGCAGTCAGAGAGCCACAGAAGGGCAGTGGACTGGGGCCAAGCGGAGCCTGAGCAGTACATATCCCGTTTCGAGGGCCGCGGGTTTGCCCGGGGCTTGCCCGGTTTCTTTTTAAAGGAGTTGGACGGGTTGGTAGAGGTGGTTTTTTGGGGGGATTTGGGGATTTAGAGGCAATTTGGCTGGCTTCAGAGGGGAATTTGTTTGACCGGATTTGGCCTCAGTTGGATTGGGGATCCCAAAGAGGTTCGTATCTGACTGCTTCTCTGGTCCCGGCCCTGAGGGCCGAGGCAAATAAAAAAAAGAGTTGACCCGTCTTCCATCCTTTTCCCGCCAAGACCAGGGGCCCCTCGTTCACCCAGATTCGGACCGCTGGCTCGGCTTGGCTCGGCGGCTTTCAGGACGCCCTGTCTGCGGACTTTGCCTTAGACTACGAGTGCCTCGCAATGCTCTGCCAGGACCGGACTCCTTGCCCGTGGCAGGGTTTGCTTTAGAGCCAAAAACAAAAACCTGGGCAAAAGCAATTTAGTTTGGCTCAGTCCCAATCAATGGGAACAGCCTGTTGAATTCTTTGGGTTAGACTGTAGACTCTGGTTAGGGGGTTCGATTGTGCTTCACTTGCCGCATAGGCGCTGTAAGGGCACAGGAGCTTTGGTTTCGCAAGCATCGCGTGTGCCAGACTGCTTGACAAGCCACATCTTCCTTCTTGCATTGACCAGTGCCCATAGCAGGGGAGTCTCCACATGGGTTTAAGTTCATGGACCTGTTGAGTCAGTCAAATGCACGAAGAGAATCGGCTGGGGCTCTGAGTGGACGGGCGCACAGGCAGCTGAGCCCTCATTGATCAACAGATCCATTAATATGCCAGGTGTCGCGGTTGTTGAAAGACGGGTACATGTGCTTGTCCCGGTAAATCTGGAGCCGCCAAGCGTAGAGCCTTTCGTGAACGCCGGCGTGAGGAATCGTTCAATAGCATCGACGCGCTGTGCCACCTGATGCCAGGGGTTTGCAGGCGGGATACTGTCAGACGCTTCGCCGCTGCAAACAGTAGGTTGAGAGACATGGAGTACAATGTGTGTGTGTGAGCTTGGGGGTAGTTGCATTCAAGCTGTTACCCCAACATTTGCCCAGGGAGGGCACCAAGCCGCATGCCCCTTACTTGAACTGGATTGTTTTGATCGGAGTCACAGGAGAGTTGTTTTTGCAGGCTGCCTCGGTTTATGCCAAATGAACATAATAGGGCGGTCAGCGGGCATTTCCGCAGGCTTCAGGTGCAACGTGAAACCCCAACCCCTACGACTGCTTTGCACAAGCGATACAGATCGAGCTCACCGATAGGAAGACAACCAACCAATTCCACCAGGATGACGCGGCTCCAGTGTTTCCAGGATTTTAGAGATGACTGAGAAAAGCCTTGTTTAGTTCAGCCTTCGTTGCGTGAAAAAGCGAATAAGGGCTGACCCCACCCCCCCCCCTTCTGCAAGAGTACATGTGAGTTACAATCAAAACCTGGGTAGATGAAGGTTAGTAAGGAACAGTCCCAGCCACAAATAGTTGCGGCCGCCTTCTTAAAAGTTCTGGGTGGACCATTTTATTACCAGGTTTTGATTGTCACTCATGTTTGGTCCACCGGCCGAGTTGCTTGGGGTCGCCAACCTGTCGGCCCTTGTCGCCTTGCCCGCAAGGTCTCAGATGCGCCTCTTCTTGGCTTTGGCCTCAGTGCATGGCACACGCAGCTGCCTGGTCCGAACCAACAAAATCCTTCATGTCCCCAAGGTCATGTCCACAAGAAACCTTCATGCAGGTTTGTCGTTGGGAAACATTTTACATTTGTGTTTTTTGTGGTTTAGTGGTTGAAATCCAAGCACTTACCTGCTAAAGTTTCTCAATTTTGGCTCCCCTTCCAACGTCGACTAAGTCCCCAAGGTGTCAAACCAGAAAACCTCCATGTTGGAATGGTTACCAGAAAACCTCCATGGTGTGACCTTGGGACCCCATGTTAGGTCAAACCAGAAAACCTCAGGTCACACCCCAGTCGGAATGGGAACCTCAAGTCCGAACACCTCGCCTCGAGGCCCTGACGCACCTGCCACGGTTGCGGGAGTACCTGAAGGCGGGGACTTCGATTCGGGGCGCGGAGGCGCAGCTCCCAGCGGCGCGCGGGCGGCCGCTCGCGGCCCTGAAAGGGATCAGATGGACGTGGGTGGCTTTGGATTTGGACCTCTTGGGCTCCGGTTTTTTAATTCGAGATGGGTTTGTCAGGCGGATTCATCCAGACCGTGACCGTCGAAGTCCCCTATCATGTTCTTTGGACCATACTAGTCATTCATTTGGGTATGGGGTAAAATAACACCACCAGGAATTGGACCGCAGGTTAGTCCTTCTTTCCATTTAGCAGGGCAAGCCGTTTGGGGTATACCTATTTTTTATGTACCAAAATGGCACCTTGGCAAATGGAACTCAATTGTTCTGGTAAGGTTGGCCCTGTATGACTAAACCTCCACCCCCTTGAAGGCACCTGGACCGGTCTAATAGGGGGGGAGTACTAGTACGGAGTCAACATTCGTCTAAAGCTGGGTTTACGACGTTGGGCGAGTTCAAACAGAGCGACGATGATGATGCCCACACTCTCACACATGCCATCCATGTAATAGATGGTGTCCATGTGTTGCTCACTCTGGGAAGCTGACGGGAGTTTGCTCCACTTCAAATTCACACCCAGTGTTGCCCTGGCCAGAGCCGCTGGATTTTGGGGCTGTTCTCATACCGTGATGTTGACGGGTGGCATTGGGATCTTGTTTGAGCCATGGTAACCCGTTTGGTCTCTAATTCAATTTAAGGCATGTCAATATCATTCTAGCGGTACACTACCCTTTGCTACGAGTAGTACACAGCAGCCAAGATCCCAGCAATATGGATGATTGTTCAATGTCACGACTCCTTATGTAAATGTGTATGTAATGAAGCAATACTGTACCAAAAAGACATTTGCACAGTGCATTTTGCTTGGATGTTAGGACTAACGTTTTGCCAACCAATGGGTTTCCATTAAACACTAAAAGTTAAACTTTTTGCCGGGGAGCAGAAAGCAACCGAGGAGTGATGGGTTCTGACGAAAGCAACAAATGAACAGAGTGGGAAACCAACGCTTTGATTTGTGCATCAGAAGCTCCTGTCTGCCTGCATCCTACCAGTTGTTAGTCGATCAGCTCGGGGTAGGGCAGCTCGGCCTATTCCAGCTAATGCGTTAAATTAGAGTTATGAAAAGCAGCCATGAACATATATATATATATATACACATCAGTACGCCTTTATGTCTAAGCCCCCTTTGACAGGGAACACAGTCTTTGTGCTCGGCAACAATCCGCTTATACAGCATTTTGTCGAGGGAGGATAATCGCTTGGCGGAGTCGAAACCAGCCAAATGGCTGCGAATTCGGCTGGGGATGCAGAATAAATGGAGTGTGTGCCGGCCAGGTGTACAAGCGCTGCGAGAGGCGAGGATCCAACATATGATGGTTTCCACTAGCTTCCAAACCGCTACTTTCGGTGGCCATGTACGCATTGGGTGATATCACATCCAGCCCTTTTGCCGTGGGTAATGTGTTGGGGGTAGTGGAAACGAGGGGCCGGGTGTTTCCAGGTGGCGGGTTCACCAAATGGTTGCATCCTCTCTGTGAGAAAGTCTGCTCTTTGTTGCATCACTCTACTTTGGTGCATTTTGCCAAGGGATGTTAGGACTGAAACACTTTTTGCCAACTAATGAATTTTCCGTATTAAACCACTAAAAGTTACAGGGGAGCGGAAAGCAACCTAGTCTAGTGGCCACTACTCTGCCAGAGAGTCGACAATCGCACGCAGTCGCAAAGGAATCCACCCCGAATCTCTGCGAAGGGCAACGAAGCGCGGCAGTCGGTGGTTCTGGAAAGATGTGGTTCTGTGGTGGTCAAAACCGTTTTGGATCTTGCATGGGATGTTCACTGGGGGCGAACCGATTTGGGTTTTGAAAAGCCCAGAGGCCATGTGCCTGTTTTCCCTCTCGTTCCCGGAGCTGAACCTGGCACTGGTCCGAGGCAGATTCTTGAGGTGGCAAAGCTTGACCCTTAGCCGGGAGAAACCGAGCATCCGCAAAAGGGCTCGGTGAGCTTGGTGAACTCGGCGCTTCTTTGTGGATGTGAGGCTCATGGGTAAGTGAGATCCCTTCAACTGGGAAGAAACCCAAAACACAAGGCATGGTAAAGGGCACTCCACAGATTTCTGTTTGGACTGGGGACCAAACAAATGGGGTATTGAATTGACCTTATGCGTGAAGAATCAGTGGGGGCATGAAATGGTTCTTCAAAACGTCATCCAAAGATGGTCGCCACTTGAGTCAGGGCGCCAATTTGGCGTCAAGTGTTGGCTTTCATGGTGGTTTCGTTTGAACATAGGACCCACCCCGTGGCTTGGACAACCCACTGGTGGGATTCTTTTTTGTGGAGCTCTGAGGAGGCTGATCGTCTGCCAAACGCGCATCGGATCCCCCGGTTGAATCAAGGGCTGCTGGGGTGTCTAAGCCTCGTTTTTGCGGCACTTTCAAGGCCTGAACGGTTGGGTGCTCAAGTTGTTCTTGGTATTTTCCCAAGGGAGTGCAGATTAACATGACATCCAGGAAGCTACAATGTTGGGTTGATCAAAAGGTCCTTTACATGGGATGACGATGACTTTTACCACTAAATGGGAAAAGTTAGCCATGGTCATTTTGGCAGGAAAATTGTATCAACCCCCAGGTAAATATGCAATGATCACTATAATTCACCAACCTGACTTAAGGAAACCCCAAGTATGGCACCTTCACTCAGCATCTCCTTCAACCCCCACTTGAAGCGTTGGGGCTGTAGGGTTGCTCGAGTCCTTCCCTCAGATCCTTCCTCTTCCCGAATCTCTCGCCAGGCTGTTGCTCTTCAACGCGGACTGCCCCACTGGGCGCGCAGAGGGCTTCGCGGGTTGGGCGGAAACGGGTTCGACTCGACTTGAATGGTGCCGTGAGCGTCTTGAAGAGGACGGTGTCGTGTTTGAGTGTGATCTCGTGGGGCCGTCCGTTGAAGTTTGCGTCAAGCTCACGGAACAAATCCGCGATCCCCGCGGGTCTTGGCATCCCATTCCCTCAGGTCGGAGTGCCATTCGGAGTGCCATTCCCTCAGTTGCCCAGCCGAAAGGGTTGCTTCATTGCGTGAGACGCCCCTGAGCGAGTTGAAGGCTGCAGCGCAGAAGTTTCCAGCGCCGCTTGAAAATAGCGAGCTCAGGCTGAGTCTTGGCTCCTGTTTTTTGCGATTTGGGTGTCATGTGCTGCCTGACCGGGCCAGAATTCAGGTGCGACTTTTCAAGGCACTGCTTGTTCCCCCCGCCCCTCGCCGAAAATGGGACTTGGCTCCTCAAAACCACAGCGAGCTCCCTTCTAGCTTTCAACTTGGAGCATCCACCTGACCCTCTTCCCCCGGTTTTTCCTTTTGCTTTCCAGGAATCCACGGTCCATTGGTGAAACCTCCCTCGCTTTGACTGCCGAAGAGGGCCCGCTCTCCCGGCCAGGCGCTACGCCTTGAACATGTCGGTGCCTTCCGACTACGCGGTGGCGGAGATGCTGAAGATGCCGCGCGATCCAAGTCAGGGGAGACAAGTGGCGGGGCGGGCATAACGCATTCAAGGGTACCTATGGGTGAGAGCAGAGGTGTCCGTTTTGCTTGTTTTGGTGGAAAAATAGATGGCTCGGGTTCACCTGGTGGTTTAGTCATCTGCCAGGGCCATCTATATGCCCCAAAAGGACACCCTGTGGGTGAGGAGTCCAAGTTTTCTTCTCACCCAAACTAGTGATTGTGCACTTGTTTTGCACCCTTCAATGCTTCTTCCATCGAGGGAGCTTGCCGAGTTCGTTTTGCTCTGAGTTCCGCTGGAGCGGTATACCGTTTCGTCGATTCTTCAAAAAGCAGGGGCACAAAAGCTTGTTTTCTCAGGAGTGCGTGTTTTGACCCTGGCTCCATGTGACTTGGCAATGCAACGGTGAGGGTTGCTGCGTATCAGTTGAGTGGCTGGTGTTGAGCCAAGGAGCAGGCTTCAATTAGGGGTCTAGCAAGGCTCCAGAAGTGCTCAGTCTTCAGCCAGAGTGGTTTTGAAACTTAGACATGCAGGATTGCCTACGCTACAGCCCGAACCTCCAAGGCAGTGTTCATATCAATTGAACGCCCAGGTGTCATTTCGGGATCCAAGCTTTGCTTCGGTTGCACGGTGCCCGTTTCATTTTCTACAGATTCTCCCCGTGTTTCCGCCCAACCGGCCGGATTGCCACCCAATCGCACCCAACAGAGGTTTGGTCAGTGCTTTCGGTGGTCTATAAGGTCCATATGCTCGCCAAGTTTCAACCACGCACTCGGGAGAAAAGCCAAGCTTGCCACGCCGTGAAGGGGCCCTTGGGGGCTCCATGTCACTTTGCACGCGAGTTGCCTCCAATCAGATCCGAGGCTGGACGCGTGGGAGGCGAGCATGGCCAAGGAAGCGGGTCTGCAGGATCGCTCCCAGCGCCTCGGAGCGGTGTGTCAGTTTTTGTTGGAGCCGCCTGAGAGGCGCTCGGCTTGACGAAAGGACCTCTGAAATGGCCATGGGTCAAAACCCCGTACCCCCAGTGAATATCACAATCCCCACTAAAATGGACTAAAATGGATGTTGCGCATATCCTAAAATGGTACCACTGGTTTTGAACCATGGCCAAATGATTCTTGATTTTCAGGCTCACTGAGTATGAACCAGAATCAATGAATCAAGATTGGGCGGTTGCGGGCCCTTGGCATCCCTTTCGCCGAGGTTTCCCTGCGCCCTTTTGGGGAAGTCCCTTCAAAAGCAAGTACCAACAAAAGGGTGTAGTTTTTCCCTGTGTCGACTGGTGGTTTGGGCCGTGTGGTATTTCAGACATCACCATTTGATTGCCAAACTTGAAAGTTTTTGGACATGGGGGGAACTCTACTGGTTGAAGTGAGCCCAGGCAGGGCACAGAATAACACTTGGCCGTGGAAAGGGAACCTGACTTCCTGCCACCGGAAAATGAACAGGGCACATGATACTGACCTTGGAACGATTTGAGTTGTTTCTTATCTTGGTAGTGATCAAGGATCCTTGTATAGGCAACCTTCCATTTTTGCGTTGGTAAGTTATTCAATCATTAGAATCCTCCTAGATTGCTTGGTGAAGAACAATTGGAGGGGACCACAGGAATTCCTCATGAGTTGTCAGATATTGACAGAAATCTTGGAATCTGAAACCTGGACAGGACTCCAGTAGGGCGCTTGCTCGGATTTCTGACCTGTCTCCAGTCTTGGCCTTGGTGTGTGTAGTGAGATTTCAACCCACCCCTGTTCCCAGTTCCCATGGCACCTGACAGGGATCCGCTCCCCACAAGACTACAAGACTAGGTCCCCAAGCTAGGTGCCCTTGCTCACCCCTTTTTTGGGGGAGGGTTACCTTGCTAAAATAGGCAAAACCGAAAAAAGCACCGGGTACCAACTAATTCTAACCTCTCAAATCTGGAGGACCTAGTTTTACTAGCTATGATTGGTTTTCCTGTGGTATCCATTCAAATCACTCCAAAATAGGTAGCCTCACGATTCCATATTGTGAAGGCTCGACTCAGGCGCCATCTGAACCCAGCCCAGCTCGGCGCGCGCCGAACGCGCCGAGCGCGCAAGCCGCGCCCAGGTATGGCAACTGGTCGAGCGCCGCGGGCTCAGGACATCACGCGGCTTCATCATGGTTGTTGGGAAACATGTTTTTTTTTTTTTACTTTCTATTTCCATCAGCAGCAGCAGCAGCAGCAGCAGCAGCAGCAGCAGCAGCAGCAGCAGCAGCAGCAGCAGCAGCAGCAGCAGCAGCAGCAGCAGCAGCAACAACAACAACAACAACAACACAACAACAACAACAACAACAACAACAACAACTTCCCCCCCCCCCCCCCAAAAAAAAAAAAAGGACAAGCATGCTTTGCTTGTTGCGCTTGAGTGGGAAATCCAACCAACTGCTGTTTTTTTTCTTTCAATTGTTGCTCCCCTTTTAACGTCAACCGAGTCATATCACTTTGGCCGAGTCAGCTTCGGATACTTGGTCATGGCTTCTCGAGGTGTTGGCTACGGGAAAGAGGGTGAGATGAGATCGATTGACTGTTGTTTGGCCCCATGCGCAGAGCACCTGTCTAGGTCCTAGTGGGCATAAAGGCCCTCAAACCAGGTCCAAAAACTTACAGGAGGTTTGATTGTTCCCCTGTTTGGGTGATTTAAACATCACCTCATGGGCCATATTAAGATAAGCTCCCCTTTGGCGGGGTGATGTCTATAGGGCACTGACAACCCAGACTTGGACTCTATGCTCCGCTTTAGTTTTGGCCACTTGGGCGACGCTTGCAAAGCACAGCTTGCCCTTAGAATTCTAAGCAATCAATTGGGGTTTGTTGGTTTACTTGCTGGCAGACCTGGAAGAGCCGTTTCTTGTAGGGACACATCTCTGGTGTCAACGTTGCTCGCAACCACGCGAGCAGAAGCATTCACGCGAGCATACAACCACGCAATACACAAGCGCAACATACCTATGGACAAACACCCAGCAAAAGTGGCCGGACCGGGAGCCAGACAGATTGGAGAAATTGGAGGAGAGGTGTGTGGCCCTGCGAACGGATTTTGTCTTTACTCCACAGAAGGGAAGCGAACCAACAACTTCTGCAACTTGAGCCATGGAGTTTACCCATGCCAGGAATCTATATGAGTATGGATTGCTTCACAGGCACATGCGGAAGGTATCCTTTGCACCCCCAGGGACCAATTCAAGCCATGAAATCTTTTCAGCTTTGGCCTCTCATGTGGCCAAGGTGCGCAACTGCACCTACCTGAACCAGAGCCTCCTGTCCCTCACGGACTGGTGGCGGCCCCAACAAACAGAATCCACACGCCGCGGGGTGTCCGTGTCTGCCAGGACCGCCTACTTGGAAGCCAGAATTTAAAGGGCCAATGTGTGGTAGCTCGTACCTTTGCCCTTCGCCAGCTATGATTGGTCTTCCTGGTATTCATTCAAGTAACTCCAAAATAGGTGGAGATTGTGAAGGTGCGACTCGGGCGCATCCCGGATGGCACATTTTACCATTGTCGGGTTCGCATAAACAGAAAATGCTCGGGGCTTCCTGAAACCGAGGATCTTATTTTTTTTGGCCAGCTTTCCGAGCTTTGGCCTGCTGTCTGGATTCTCTTATGAGCTGGCTCCATCTTGCCAGACCAGCTTTTGATTTCCGAACGAACTTTGTGGGAGTCAGAGGTAGGCCGCTTCGCGCTCGAAGCGATAAGTTTCGGTCAACTTGAAGGCACTTGTTGTTAGTTTTGCAGAGATCATGATGGGGCAGAGGCTGACGTTCGGCACCATGAATCCCCGGATGTTTTGGCCTTGCCAGCTTCCTAGATGAAGCAATAGTTGATGGTGAGTTGAATAGACAAAACACAGCCACAAGCCAAATCGTTTCATTCGCTTGTCCAAAGGAGCTGTGTTGGGAACCCCAGTGGCAAGGGCAACCTTTCGGTTTTTTCAGCCCATCTCTGTGGTCCATGTGCATCATGTTTTATGCAACCTTTGGATTGCCCCAACTCATGTGAAGCGCGAGGCCTGCCAGTGCTCCCAGGTTTTCAGGAAACTGATCCCCGGAGCATCAAAGCAGGGCTTTGACCCCGGTCCGAAGAGGGGCTAGTTAAAGGGACTAGTGCCCGCCGAATCGGGTCTGATGTGGCGGGCCATGTTGCTGTGGCGTTTTTTTTTATTTTCGCATGAACCGACTGATCAGGCCTTGATACTTTGGTGCATTTTGCTTGGATGTTAGGACTTGAACTTTTTGCCAACCAATGGGTTTTCCATTAAACCACCAGAAGCTAAACTTTTAGCAGGGGAGCAAAACGCAACCGGGGATACAGGTCCCTGTGCTGTTCCATCTCTTTCTCGGGGGCTGACGGACTGGACGTGCGGCGCCACGCGTGGCGTCGGACCGTCGGACGCTGAGTCTTCTCCCCAACCACGAGACGCTCCGCCTGGACTTCGTCACCTGGCGCCGGCCGAAGGACGCCCGAGCACTTCCGGCCGACAGGCAGGCAGCCACCCCCCAGCGAATCGGGGCGCGAGGGGTGTCTTGAGTCGCCCTGTCTGTTCGCTTTGTTGGTTTGTTTGTTTGTTTGTTTGTTTGTTTGCTTGTTATACACTCATTAATTGTGTTATTATGTTTTTTTTATTCGTTGTTTGTTCGTGTATACCTTGTGTGTGTGTTAGTACGTGTTTGACTGTGTGCAAAGATGAAGCAATACAAGCACGGCCTCCTGTTGGGCTTTTTGTTGGGCCAGGAGCTTGCTTGCAAGCTAACCTGATCCGAGGTCTTCTGTTTTTGTCTGATCTCTGGTTTTTGGTCGGGATCCATGTGGCTAGGCTGATCTCTGTTTAGCTATGTGGGCGCGTCTCTTTTGCGGGTACCCTTTTTGGTTGG